TCTCGAGAGGGGTGCCGAAATCGATGGGTCCCCCAGGGGGGTAAGGACTACAGCTCCACCAGTTGTGGCTGGCGAGGCCTTCGCCCAGGGGAAGAGGTCGACGGCTTGAGGTCCGAGGCCTTCGCCTAGGGGGGTCGACCGCACGAGGTTCGAGGTCTTCGCCAGAGGGGGGGGGGTCGAAGGCTCGAGGCTCGAGACTTCCGCTGGGGGAGGTCGACGGCTTGAGCTCCGAGGTCTTCGCTGGGGGGGGGAGGTCGACGGCTTGAGCTTCGAGGTCTTCGCTGGGGGCGGGAGGTCGACGGCTTGAGCTTCGAGGTCTTCGGGCCGCTTCTTCGGCTCCAAGCGATCATCCAGCCCCAGGGTGCCTCCCGGGAGCTGCGCCTCGCCGAGGACGGAGTTCTTCGGGCGGTGCCTTCGGCTCCAAGCGGTCTCCCGCAGCTTCCAGCCTGCAGGGCGTCTCCCGGCAGCTGCGCTCCCCGAGGGCGTCGCCCCCGGCGTGCCCGGCCGCGGCAGGCCGGAGTACTGACCCGAAAACCGAGAGGGAGCTGGCTCAGGGGGGGAAAACATCCATCCCCAGACATGCGACGCCTTGATTTTTTCAGGACGGCGTCCCTGGAAATCCCGACCCTATCCCCGGGACCGGTTGTTCGTCCTAAGTCACTGTTTGACGGTCGCAAGGCCCGGCGATGGCCCCCTGGGGCCGAAAATAGCAAAAAAACAAAAAAACTCCCGTTCCGATTTTTTTACGACGCGATCATGTCTGGGTCGACCTGGCATCAACAATGCATCGGGGGCCTATCAGACCCCTATCGGCGATCAGTAGGCGATTGGGGGCCGATGCGTTCCCCCAGGAGCTCAGCCATCCCTCATCGCTGCCCCCGATCCCAGGAGATCACTCCCGGCCCGCTCCTCGAGGGGCCTGCGGCCATGGCGACGGACGACGACAGCCTCCCTTCCGAGTCTCGCTTGTAAAGGGGTCCCTCCCCTCTGTGGACGCCGAAGGCGAGCAGGGCGGCGACGACGAGGGCGACGAAAACGACGAAGACGACGGGGGCACCCCAACAGGCGGGCGGGTCGGGACATTTTGAGCAGGGACCGACCGTCCCGGCATTGCTGTAGGCTTACCACGACGTGTTATAGAACCCCAAAACATTCGAATAGCACAAACCACGTTCTTAGAACAGAAACCCGATGCGTTGAAACAACGGTCCCAGCCAGAAATGTTCTGAAAACATTTCGTGCAGACCACCAAAGGGTTCTCAGAACATTCTTTGGTGGGCCTGCAGGCGAGCCAGGACGCTTCGCCACTGCTTGACAACGGGCGGGCGGGTCGGGACATTCGAATTAGGTCGGGCCTGTCCCCCTACAGGGGGATTGTGGACCAAACCTAAAAAAGATACCCAACTCAACATTCGGGGATCTTCTGACCCGGGTCAATCCAGACCCGGGTCAGCGGGAAACCAACAACTGCAATGCAGGAAAAAAACTGCAACGCAGATCTTCGCAAACCCGGGTCAGCCAATAGGCGCGGCCGCCTCGCGGCCACGAGCGGCTCGCTGACCCGGGTCAGCCAGAGGGGGTCTTCGCAGGATCCTGCAGGATCTGGTGCCCTGCAGGGCACCAGATCCTGCAGGATGACTGGCTGACCCCCGTCTAGAGGCTGATCCCCGTTTGCATTGACCCCCGTCAAAAGGCTCCCGATACATCAGAACCGTGTGCAATCCATTCAGCCCGGCGCCCGCGCGTGCGACGCCCGCGGCGACGACGGCGAGGGCGACGCCGGCGACGCCCCTTGGGGCCACAACGCCCCTGGGCAGGCGCAGGCACCGCTGGGCCGGGCATGTCCCCCTACAGTTAGGTGGGGCCTGTCCCCCTGTAGGGGGGATTTTGGGCGAAAAATAACAATTAGCCTGGCGAAGGACCCAACCATATGCAACTGTGAATACCGCAAGTGTGAATATCGTTTTCGGCGGCGCTACCTCTGGTAGTGGAGACGCATGCGAACACCCCCAGTGGGGCCTTCGGTGGAGCTCCGTATGGGGCTACGAAACGCTGCCCTGGGCGGGGGAACCGCATGCAGGCAGCCCCACTGGGGCCTTCGGTGGAGCTCCCTGTGGGGCCACGAAACGCTGCCCTTGGTGGGGGAACCGCATGCGGGCACCCCCACTGGGGCCTTCGGTGGAGCTCCCTCTGGGGCTACGAAACGCTGCCCTGGGTGGGGGAACCGCATGCGGACACCCCCACTGGGGCCTTCGGTGGAGCTCCCTCTGGGGCTACGAAACGCTGCCCTGGGTGGGGGAACCGCATGCGGACACCCCCACTGGGGCCTTCGGTGGAGCTCCCTATGGGGCTACGAAACGCTGCCCTGGGTGGGGGAACCGCATGTGGACACCCCCACTGGGGCCTTCGGTGGAGCTCCCTCTGGGGCTACGAAACGCTGCGTGGGGGAACCGCATGTGGACACCCCCACTGGGGCCTTCGGTGGAGCTCCCTATGGGGCTACGAAACGCTGCCCTGGGTGGGGGAACCGCATGCGGACACCCCCACTGGGGCCTTCGGTGGAGCTCCCTATGGGGCCACGAAACGCTGCCCTGGGTGGGGGAACCGCATGCGGACACCCCCACTGGGGCCTTCGGTGGAGCTCCCTATGGGGCCACGAAACGCTGCCCTGGGTGGGGGAACCGCATGTGGACACCCCCACTGGGGCCTTCGGTGGAGCTCCCTATGGGGCCACGAAACGCTGCCCTGGGTGGGGGAACCGCATGTGGACACCCCCACTGGGGCCTTCGGTGGAGCTCCCTATGGGGCCACGAAACGCTGCCCTGGGTGGGGGAACCGCATGTGGACACCCCCACTGGGGCCTTCGGTGGAGCTCCCTATGGGGCTACGAAACGCTGCCCTGGGTGGGGGAACCGCATGTGGACACCCCCACTGGGGCCTTCGGTGGAGCTCCCTATGGGGCCACGAAACGCTGCCCTGGGTGGGGGAACCGCATGTGGACACCCCCACTGGGGCCTTCGGTGGAGCTCCCTCTGGGGCTACGAAACGCTGCCCTGGGTGGGGGAACCGCATGTGGACACCCCCACTGGGGCCTTCGGTGGAGCTCCCTATGGGGCTACGAAACGCGTGAGAGGTGTGCCGAGAGCAGAGGCAAGGAGGAGGGAGGAGGGGGAGGAGGAGGAAGGAGAGGAACGCGGGGCACCGTCTCTTCAAAACGAGGACCCAACACCACAGGATGGTTGGGAAAAAAAACACTCACAAAATACTCGAAGTATGCACAAAAATATGCAAAAAATGGTGCCCAGACTTCTTTCTGGACTACTTTTGAATAGCTAGTCCCCCTGTAGAGGGACAGGCCCGACTCAACATCACACGAACGCCTCGCTCGAGGCATCCTCGAAATCTGCTCCGAAAGCGGAGGATGCTGGGCCAGGAAGCAGGCAAACCGATCGAGACATCCTCTGAATCTGGCCCCACTTGGGGGCGAAAATCAAATGAACGCGTCGCTCGAGGCATCCTACAAATCTGCTCCGAAAGCTAAAGGGGCCCAGGGACACACAAATGAATAGACACAGATGACCAGATCCCCCGTATTTTCCAATATTTTTTGGATTTTCGTCTTCCCCCCCCCCACTTCCCGTATCTTCCCATATTTTCCTGGGGGTCGACGATCCATTGTGCCTGTGCGTTTCTTCCCCTCCTGAAAAGCGGAGGACGTTGGGCCAGGAAACAGGCAGACCGCGCCCACTTCTGTGGGCGCGCTCGGCTGCGGACCCCTCCTGCGGGGCCCGCAACTCCACCAACGTCACCGCACGCCGCACCGGCCCGTGCAGGCGAGCGACGGGGAGCTGGGCCCTCACAGAGGCGCCCCTCCTGGCTCAGTGACGAGCGACCCCAAACCAGCAAGAACTTAACTGCCCAGGTCGGACACAAACTGACAACCTTCGTCCTTCGTGGCCATAAGCGGGCATACAGTGGGGCTCGGCCACAAGAAACCTTAGCAAGACACCCAACCCTGAATGCCGCGATTCGTTCGGTGAAAACCCAAATTAGTCGATCGAAAATAGTCAAGATCTTATTTGGGGCCCATCGAAATCCAAGAAACCCAGGGCACCCTCGCAAAATCCCACTGGTCAAGATCTTGGCACGCGCCCCCACTGTAATTAAGCGTTCATGATGAGAGACCAAGACCTTGCCCCGATTTGCGGCCGCCGCGATCGCCGCGACGACCTCCAAAAACGACCCCGAGGTTTGGTTCGGGGTCGGGTATCACGCAACGACCCCCCTCCCCGAGAGGGTGGGAACGACGGGAGGACGCAGTGATGTCAGACGGAGGGTGCCAGGGGGTGGGGCCAGAAGACGGATCTCGGCCCTACGAGGTTCTACGAGACAACACCAGCAGTTGAACCAACGCAGCCGACCATTGTAAAACACCAGAGCTTTGCAGCCGAGCCCTGCATCAACACCAACTTCGATTGCATACTATCATCAAATCAACCAACTCCGCGCCATCAACCGCTCTGGCCCAGACAACAACGCACAAAGCGCAACTATATTCGCACCCCCGCGGATGACCAAGTATCCCCTCGCGCCGGCAAAACAAAGATACTTACCATACCCGAACTTCGCACGCTCTAAAAATGAGGTCGGATCCCGGCAGCTCGCATCATGACTCGCAACGGCAAGCCGCGTTCGAGGGAGCCGCTCGGCCTTGAGATGGTGGTAACGAGAGGGCCCTATCCAAGAACGAAAGAACAAATCTGCTGCCGTCGGCAGGAGGGACCCAAGAAAGGCGTCAAGCGCGCGACACGCGCTGGCCTCCAGGAAAGCCAGGTTGCAGGAAGCGGGTCCGAAACTGCGAAAAACTAAAGCGAATCAGCGCCACGTGCGGTGTACGTACTCATCTCTAGACTTGTGCCATCACTCGGATAGACTTGCGCCATAACTCAGACAGCAGATCGTTGCGAAAAGAGGTCGCGTGGGAAAGGCGAAGGCAGATCCTAAAAGTCTGTCAAGCAATCCGCGGCGGTGCATCCACAAGACGACCCCGACCATGCCGGCAACGAAGGAGCATGCCAAGAGCTGCGTCACGAAGAAGAACACCAGATACGCCTTCGGAGGAGGAGAGCCGCACGGCGAGAACGAGAAGAGAGAACACGACAGGAGGCCCCGTCACGAGAAACAGCGCCAGGTGCGCAAACCGAGCCGCAGGGGGTGAGGCTCAGGCCCCCCCCACCCACCCACGGCCGACCGAGCATGCCGCGCCCCCCGGGAGAAGAGAAGAGGAGGAGCGATGCGCGCGTTGTGCATGCCATGACACTGGGCACCCCAACAGTCCTACTAGGGAGTATCAAACATGTGTCCGACGTGTAGGAAACCTGCTGCAAAGATGTTTTAAACATGTTTCCGCATGCTGGAAGCAATAGCTAAGCATTTTTAGACATCTGGAACTCATTTGGCAACATGCTTCCTCTCTGTGTCGGGGGCGCGCAAGCATGGATTAGCGATCCATGGATTTGGCGCGCGGTCGCCAAATCCATGGATCGGGGGAGGTGCCCTCCCCGAAATGCGGCCTGTGCCGCCTCGTTCGGCGGCGGAAATCCGCGATTCCACAAGGAAACGGGACCCGTCGCTAATCCGCGTTTCCTTGATCCATGTTTGCGATCGCATGTCTATGGATCGTCGTCCACAATGCATGTGTTATTACTTCTTTGCATCCCCCCACTGTGCACCGGCTCGCTCCGCTCTCCCTCTGGCCCCATCGGCGATGCTCGGCGAATGCCGATCTACGTGCCTCTTGGCCTAAAGCGGAACACCCCGCCGCGCTGCCACTCGAGAAGCTCGACACAGAACAGAGAGGAAGAGCCCCACTCGGACCATCATCCCGATCCTTCCCCCGACGCGAGTCCACGCTGGCTCCAGCCCGCCCTCCTAGGTCGCCTAACTTGCAGTGTCTAGCTAGACCCCCCGGACGAGGGGCTCGGCGCTTGAGACCCCCGTGGCTCGAGAAGCCTGAGGAGGACGAGAACGAGGAGGACGAGGACAAGAGGAGGAAGGAGGAGGAAAGAGGAGGAGGACAACGAGGAAGAGGAGGAGGAGGAGGAGGAGGATGACAAGCGGTAGGGCAACTCCGTGTGCCACGCCGCGAGGCGCGAAGTAACATCCGCGGCCCGCGCGGCTCCCGATGCTGCGCAAATCGCCCCACAGAACGGCCGATGAGAGCCCCACGAGGATGGCGATACAGTCGGGCTTGACTAGCAAGTCGACCCTGCCAAGTCAAGGGTACACTTGTGTCCTCTCTTTGGAGGCCCATGCCTTCTACATTCCTATGGCAATGTTGCCCTCGGGTCTGGTGTCCTCTCGCGTGTCCTCTCCAATCAAGTCCGGAGCGGTTAATGCTCCGCGCCTCCGCTCCTCCTCCTGACTTTCGGCCACAGCGGGCCAAGTCCTATCACACAGATCATGCTAAGTTACAGTCAACCCGAATCAGAAGGATGCGCGGTAAGGATGCAAGGGCCTTGGAGGCCCATGTTAATGTTTTTCGAGCGAGGTTGGCCAGCGAGAGTCGCTAAGGATGGGCCGAAGGGGCAACGATGCAAGGGTAGCCTTGGGAAGGTTGCCCATCCTTACAATGCGAGCTGACTGCATGCGCGGTCAGCGCGTCATCAACTCGACCATGGAAACCGACCCCTCAAGAACAGACCGCGCCCAAACGGGAAAAGCCAGAATAGAGCAGACCTGGAGAGACTGGAGGGCAGAACAGCCACCCCGATAAGAACCACCCAGACACGCGAGGCGTTTAATAAACGCGCCCAAAGAAGGAATCGATCAGGGCAGGGCTGTTCAGTAAACGCCCAAGGCAATTCCGTAAACGCCACTTGTCCGGGGTGGTTATTCCTCCCTCGAGAGACGGGCCACGCATGTGTCGCAGCTCTGCCCCCCCCCCCTGGCCATCGCTCGGACGTCCATTCCCTGTGTTTGTTTCGGTTTCGTGCATGGTTTTCTCGCCAAATGATCAAGGATGCTTCTCGATGGTCCTCGCCGGTGGAAAAATGCACACGTCCGAGCGATGCCAAGCCCCTCCCCCCCACCGAATGAGGACACCCACGTCTTCGGCGGCGTGCCCAGGGTTGAAGCGAGAATGGGGCGGGCCTTCTCAAAAGGCCCCACGCCCTCCGGCCTCCTGAGAAGTCTGCGAAGCCTTCCCCGGCCCGACGACGCGGGAGACTTCTCGGACGGCGCGAGGGCCTCTGAGCAGCCCCCGCCTCCTTCTGAGACGGCCTTCTCCGTCTCGCTCCCCCTCCTCGCTCGCCGCCGAGAGACGGGCCACGCATGCGTCGCAACTCTGCCCCCCTCCCCCCCCCCGCCGAATGAGGGCAACGCGTACAGCGCGGGGGAGACGTCGGTGAGCACGAGGCGCAGGGAGGGAGGGCGCGGAGGACGCGGGAGACGAGGGACGGAGGGGGGATGAGCACAGGAGATGGGTGTCGGCGGAGACGTGAATGGCGGCGAGCAGGGGGGGGCGAAAAGGAGGGGCGGGCCTTCTCAGAAGGCTCGGAAGCCCCCGGGCCTCCTCAGAAGCTTTCGAAGCCTCTCCCGAAGACTGCCGACGACTTCTCAGAAGGCCGGGAGGGCTTCCGAGACGCCTTGCTGCCTACTGAGAAGGCCTCCGCCTTCTCATTTCCCCTCTCGCTCGCTGCCGAGCACAAGGTGGGTGGAGAGTTCGATGGCGGAGACGTGGATGCCGATGACGAGTCCGCTGGAAGGAGGAGAACGACGAGGACAAGGAAAGTCACGAGCGGCGGACGTTTCCGTATCTGTGCCCTCGCGGTCTGGATTCCGGGGCGCGACCCCGCGGATACGCGGTCGCCTTGATACCCATCGGTCGTAAGAAGTAGGTAGAGACATGAAGTAGGAAGGCGGATGCAGTAGATTGAGTTCGGGCCCGCCCAGAGAGCAACAAACCGCAGCAAAAGCAGACCGATTCATGAAGTAGGAAGGCGCTTGAAGTAGATTGGGCTCAGGGATTCTAAAAATACCTATTGTCAACGACCGATGGTAGAGGCCTCCTAGGTGGGGTCGGTGTAGATGGGGTCGGCCGATCGCGCCGCATCGCCGACACATCGGCCATCCGGCGATGCATCGCCGACGTCGGCGATGCATTGGCGACGTCGACGTGACGCAAATCGGGATCCACATCCACATCGAGCCGCATCGGCGATGCATCGGCGATGCGGCGCGATCCTCCGACCCCATCTACTCCGACCCCATCCAGGAGGCCTAGATTCTCGCCAACGAGAGGGGGGAGACGCGGACAGAGGGTGAGTCAGGAAGGACGGCAGAAGCCTGTCGGCCAAGGCTGCGCGCCCTGTCGCCCCCGCCCCCCCCCCCCTGGACGCCTGCACGTAGCAATACAACGCGGGGCTTGTTTTCCTGCAGGTCTCGGACTCCTGCTCAGCGGGAGGAGGAGAGAGGAGGGGGAGGAGGAGGAGGAGGAGGAGGAGGAGGAGGAGGAGGAGGAGGAGGTGGTGGTGGAGGAGGAGGAGGAGGAGAGGAAAAGCCGCATGAGGAACATAACCATCATGAGGGGCAGGGCCAGCAGGGAGGAATTTTTGGGGAGCAGGATGGAAAGGGGATGAGGGGAAATGGAGGGGGGGAACGGGTAGTACAGGAAGGTCGCTGCAAAGAAGAGGGGAAGGATGATGAGAAAGAGGGGGGGCAGAACACAGGAAGAGGAGAGTAATGGAGGAGGATGAGAGAATACAATGAGGGAGAAGGACAAGGAAATGGGACGAGGAGGCGGAGGAGGAATATCATGGGGGAAAATGGACAGGCTGAGCTGACATCTGGACTGCCCCAGTGCCTCCTTTTCAGCCCACCCCTCCATTCAGCACTATTTGCCTCCCTCCCTCCTCCCCCGCCCCCTCGATGGCGCCCTCCATCGCCCGCTCCCTCCGATCAACGTTCTCCCGCGCGTCCCCCAATGCTGTTTCCGTCTCTCGGGCACGCGAGATAATTGCTGTAGCAGTTCGGGAAGTGGTCATCGCATGGGGGAGGGGGAGGGGGAGGCGGGTGACAGTAACGCTTGGGCGGGGCGGGCGTCAGGGCGGCGGTGCGCTAACAAAGCCATGGTACGCGCGCGGACTCCAACAATTGCGAAGGAGTCCAAATCACCTCCCTCGGGGATTTTCTGACCAGGGCCAATCCAGACCCCAGTCACTCAGGCCTTGCAAAATCCTGCAAATCCTGCAAGATCCTGCACCTAAACCCGGGTCAGCGCGAATGATCCCGCAAGATCCTGCGCCCAAACCCGGGTCAGTGCGACCCTGGCCCTGCAGGATCCTGCAAGATCGGGCGCTCTGGCTGAACCCCGTTTGAATTGACCCCCGTCTCAAGGCTCCCGACTCCCCAACATTTTCGAGTCCCGAAATGGTGCGGTGACACACCGTGCGGTGACCTCGAAATCCCCCAAGACCTCACCGCACGGTCCGTCACCGCACGGTTTTAGGACCCTGGAAGCCCCTGTCGCCCGAGACGTTTTCGGATAACGACCCGAGTCCCAAAACCGTGCGGTGACCCCGAATCCCCTGGTGCTTCAACTTTTGTTTGCTGAGGTGGCCTGGCGGCCAGCCGGAGCAGTTCGGGGCACCCCGTGCCCTGTGTCCCTTTGTTAAGAAGAAGCCACCCGCGCCAGCTAGTATCACCACCTCCCTCCCGTGCTGGTTTCTCTTTCATGTTCCGATTGCTCGGCCGACTTGGGGGCCGACTCAGATGCATATGCACGGCAAATGTGTGGCATCTCAAACCCTGCTCGGACCGTTATCATAGGTGGCTGGACTGGCGACCCCCCTCTCTGTTTCACGGATGTCCCTCCGCTCACCTTCGAACCACGGGCCTCCCTTGGAAATGACCGCATGCCCCGATTCCGACCCTTCCCGCCGCTACCTCTCATCGCCCTCCTACTCCTGGACTGGAAGAGTAACGGAATTGCATTAAGCTGCGTAAACATAATTTTTCGGAGGTTCGAAAGGAATCTTGGATCGGCGCTGGACCCCCTCCCTGGCGAACGGAGCACGCCAGATGCGGCGGCGAAGGCGCCGCCAGCGCGCCCCGGCCCCAATCCAAGAGATCCGAGCGGAGATTCGAGATACTATCTTTACACAGTGTAGTTCCTCAAGAAAGGGAGGAGCCCAAAACCAACGCCAGCTCGTGGAGTCCTTGCTGCCCCTGCTGCATTTTGCAGCAGTGTCGGTCTCGTGGCAAGGTGACGCGCTGAGACAGCTGTACCCTGAAAAGACGCAGTAGAACATACAGGGCCCCGATGGTTACGTTTCGTTGCAATTCACACATACCTGAACAAGATTTGTGATAGAAAATCGTTCAATGCGCAGCAGCGGCACCAATCGCCGATCGGGACCCCCAAAAACACGCAACCGACCCTGCAGTAAAAGGACCGTTTCGTTTCCTCCCACGACACGGCCCGTCACGACCAGACCTCCCGCCTGGAGGCGGCAAGGGGGTGAATTTTGTGGGAACCAAGAAACAAATCGGGAAAAGGAAATGAAGCCAAATGCAATCAAAATCGGCCCTCGAAGCCCTCCATGGGTCCATCTGGCGGAGGTTTTCACATCGGGTCCGCTTTGCACGGTCCAAGGGCCCGAAAAGCGCCCCCGGAGGCAGAAAAAAACAAAACGAAAACACCTTCCCGAACCCAGGACCTCGAGCCTGCCCGCCCTTCCTGCTGGCCCGGACCATCGCCGGGCCACATCAACCGCCAAACTGGTTCCAGACCCCTCCCCCCCGCGGCCCCGCCCGTGACGACCAGACCTCCCGCCCCACCCGGGATGACTTTTTCTCACCGCAAGCGCACTCACTGCAGTCCATTGTTCATCGTCCGCGCACAAGAATAACGCAGGTGAGGGAGAGACATCAGCAGGAGGACAGGAGAGGAAGCCAGGGCACTGGCCGCTGATCCTCAGCAGCGAAGCTAGCTTAACCCACAGCACGAGGACACCGTGGTACCTCGCGCGCGCGGGCATCGAAACAACCCCGCCCGCCAACGGAAGCGACGGGAGGCCGTGACCGAAGGCGGGGGGGCGCGCTCGAGCCAGGGGGGGGGGGAGTTGATAAAACCGTGTGCGTACAACTTCGTTCTGCTGCGTTGCATCGCCGTCACTAGCATCATCATCATCGGCATCAGTTGACAAAGTTGTGCGCGCGTGTACATGCGTGTCTTCATACTATCGCAAAGTGTGTTATCATATCATCGCTGTCGCGACCCAAGCAACCCCAGAGATGTGCGATCTGGTGGCAAACAATCCGCGCGTCGAATCCATCAACGTGGCGACTGCGACGACGATCGTGCGATGATGGCGGTACTCGATAGCAGGAAGGTGATTGAGCCTCAAACCAGCTACGGAAGAGAGTACCCGAGTTGAGAACTTAACTTGGTATCTTCCCATATGGAACAACACACATATGATGATGACGAGTATGTGATTCAAGATGCTGCTGATGACGATGGTGATGACGAGTATGTGTTTCAAGATCCTGATGATGGCGATGATGATGACGAGTATGTGTGTCAAGATGCTGGTGGTGACGATGATGATGACGAGTGTGTGTTGCAGGATACTGCTGATGACGACGGTGATGACAAGTACGTGTTTCAAGATGTTGCTGATGATGATGGTGATGACGAGTATGTGTTTCAAGATGCTGCCCTTTCCTGTCGTGCCCCCGCCCTATCCTCGGAGATGGCGGTTTCGACATCACCCTGGGATCCCCAAGATCGCCCCCTGTCAGGGACAGGTCGCGAGTACCGAGGTGGTACACACACGCGGTTTTATCAACCTTACGGGGGGGGGGGTCCATGCCCCGCAAAGGATGGCGCTGGCGCTCGCCATCCTCACCTGCCCCTCGGGTGGGGGACCCTCGGATGGGGCCCGCCGCATCCACGAACCCAGGCACGAGGCGAGGCGGTCTGAAACTCTGAGACGCCACCCCATCCACAGAGGCGCAAGGGCACTTCAGAGACAGGCGCGGGGCGGGGGCGGCGGCGGGGCCAGGGGGGCGGTCGCGCTCGCGCGCGCGGGCCCTCGCCACCCCACGCCGACAAGCCAGAAGGGCCCAACCCAACGCCGCCGCGCGGTAAGCAATGGCGCCGCGGAGCAGCAGCAGGGGGGCGCGCGCGAGGTGGCGCGCAGCAGCGGCGCCAGGGGGGAGCGGCAGGAGCAGCAGGGGGGGCATAACAGGGGACACAAGGGTGAAAACAAAACCGAGGCCCCGCACAAAACCCCGCCCCGCAGGCGAGAGGAGGCAGCAGCAGGGGCAGAGACGGAGAGGGATTCGAAGGGGGGGTCCAAGATCCACGCTTAGCCATGGGACGCAAAGCGCCGAGCTCAATACGCCCAGGATGCAAGCACGCAAAAGAATATCGACTCAGCGACGCACGGCAGGAGGACTGCACTCGGGCCACGCGACCCCTAGGGCCAGTGAACAGGGGAACTGATGCGAGGACCCCGGTTAACGTCGAGGCGCAGGATATCAGATCAGCGCAACGCGCGGATGACGAACAACCGCCGCCGCCGCCTTCCGCCCTCGACATGCCGCGAAAGCAAAGCGGAGCCGCCCCGCATTATTCGATGTCTGCTTATTTTTGAGAGACGCCAGAAACTCAGACACCACAGAAACGATACTTGCTTTCGCTCCCGCACTCGCTCCGTAAGATCCTCGGGAAGCGTTAGCGGCGTCAACTGCTCAGAGACCACCCATCTATCGATGCGTTGCATGCTGGCTAATCCCCTTCGGATATGAGAAAGATCCACCCGACTTGGGACATGCACTCAAGACGGCAACTGGGGCGTGGCCAGACGAGGCAAACGCGCAGGTCAGAGTCCCTAGCGCACGCGCAGTGACAACCATCTCTTTGGCACCAGGGAAACTGGCCTATACCCTATCTGACCGAACGAATCCCCGAATCTGTCCCCGCGCGAGGGGCGAGGGGAATCTACTTCGCATCGGGGAATGTGCCGCGGCCATGGCACGCGCAACGCTGCGACTGATCCCCAGGACCGAAGTCGCCCCTTCCAGGACCCTCCCATCCTCCACAGGTGCGAAGTTCCAATTGCCAGCTACGAGCACCACGCTGTGGGCTGCATGGGGGGGGGGGGGGGGGTACCTTATCCTGAATCTTCACCAAATGCTGCCCATGCGCGCCGATGTGGCAACCTGTGTTGGGTAACCGCATGCCGATGATAATAAAGGGGCCCCCCCTTCACCGTTTAGAGTTGATTGCCGTCGCCCTATACAAAATTCAAATTGGGCGGCGAGCGCTGAGGCCGAACTTCATTATCACCTCGAAACGCTATGTTGAGATAGCAACATCAAGCGATGTTGATATAGCAACATCAAGCGAAGCGATCACACTTTTCAGGATGTGTCAAGCGAAACCAATAATTTTGGGAGGCAGATTCAAACGAAACGAGCAATGTTCTGATTATTATTCTACTTTCCTCTTCTTCTTTTATATTTCTATCTGTCCTCGCGCTCGCCTGAACTGTTTTATCCCTGGGGTTGATTATCCATGGAAAATGAAGCACATGAGCTGCCCTACACGAGCACTTAAAAAATCAATGTTCATAAAGCGTTTGTAAATTAAAACTGATAGATTTGGAACTTTGGATTTTTCCTTTCTTCGTCCTCTTCTTATTCTCTCTTCTTCTTCTTCTTTCTTATTGTTCTTCTACTGTATTCTTCTTCTTTTATATGTCTCTCTGTCCCCGCGCTCGCCTGAACTTTTTTATCTCTGGGGTTGATTATCCATGGAAATTGAGGCACATGAGCTACCCTACACGAGCACTTACAAAAAAAAACAATTTTCATGAGAGATAAGCCATTGTTGAGGATATTTCTATGAAAACTAAACGCCAAGGATGTCTCAAAACGTGCTCGGCTTGGTCTCCTCTTGATCATCTCTTACTTCGAGATTATGCTGAGGTCTGCTGGGCTACTTTTATTATCTCTCCCTGAACCGCGAACTTTATTATCCCCTAGTGTTTATTCTCACGGGCATGAGGTTATATGAACATCCGCGACCGTAAGATTCACAGTCGGGACCGCCACTTCGGCACGATCGATTCGCGGGAACAGGGAATGGGACATCAGAGACACGGGTGGCATCCCCACCAGCCGTCCTATCACCCATGAACTGTCGCGCACAATATTGGGCAGGAACCGACCGTCCCGGCATTCCTATAGTCCTACCACGAAATGTTCTTAGAACACGATAATGTTCGAACAACAAACACAATGTTCTTATAATTTACAACCGATGTGATCAAATAAGACAGCCCCAACCAGAAATGTTCCAAGAACATTTCGTGGGAACCACAAACGGTTCTTAGAACATTGTTTGGTGAGACTATAGGCGCGCCAGGACGCTTCGCCACTGCTTGAAGACTACCTGCGCGCGCCTCGCCAGCTGATGTGGCCCAGCCGGCCCTGTAGCCATGAGTCATTAGTGATGAGACCTGGCGCCGCTCAAGCAATCTCTTGCCTGCTGAAGCCGTGAACTTGCACTGAAGAGCGAGGGTGGGGCAGATGCAAAGTGAGCGCGAGCGTGCCAGGTGCAGAGGGCGCGCGGAGTGGGCGGACGGTGGACTCCACCAACAACCCCAGCTAGACGAGGTGAACCTTGCGGCGCCGTGTCAATTAAATTACAACTCGCGCTGCTCTCAGGAGAAGGGAGCCCAGTCAAGCTCTCAGATGCCGAAGAAACAAAGCTACCGCCGTCGGGCCCCCACCCATCGTCGCAGCTGTCGCGCTCACCTGGAGGAGCGAAAAGCCGGAAAATGGACGCCCAGGCAGGGCGCGCGTGGATCTCCCTCACCCCCCTGGCCAAGCCTACTGCGCCCACCTAGTTGTGCGCGTTGCCAGCCGATGGGCCATTATCAAAGAAACCCTTCAGAACTGGAGCTGGGATGGCACCTCTGGTCACGTAAGTCGTCCGTCCGAGCCCCGTAGCTCCCGCGCGCTCATGGCCGAAGATGTGTGCCACAACCTGCCCCATATTGCCGAGATAGGAGAAGAGTCTGCGAGACGTCTATGGGGGGCCACGACGGACCCGCAGCTCGAGGTCCCTACCACCCTCAGACATTGAGGGAAAGCGAACGGGCCCTCTGTCGTGCACTTCGAGTGGGAGGTGGTGGCCACCAACGTGGTCGAGAAATCGAGAAATACCTTCTCGCCGAAGCTGACAACTTGAATCTGGACGCGCGGGATGTCATGTGCCAGAGAACCCGTCGCCATAACCGGAGTCACAGCCTGGCGAGGAGTGGCCTCGAAGTGGGGGCGACGGAATTGTAGGGCCACCAGCCGACTCGGGTTGCCCGCGCCACCTAGCTCCACGCGGCGGCGGATCTGCCGAGAGAAGGACACCCCAACATCATCCTTATCAGGCGTAGCGGCGCCACCTTTCGAATTACCCCTTAAAGCTACTAGCTCCTCTTTCGTCGTCTCAATGACCCCATCGCCTCCTCCTGCGAAACACGCTCAGCAATCCCAAAATTATTGTCCTGCAACAGGGCCGGTCCCTTGATAAAACGAACACGAACTCATCCATCGGCTGCTTCGCGAGATTTGCATGTGATGCCCGTAAAGAATGGAAAGCACTTGCGGCTTGCAGTATATGGCCCTGGATGCCTGATATATGGTTGCTGGTATATGTGGTTCTCCGATCCAGCTGCTGGGTGATAGAATCAACGCTGCACGGGAGAGGCTGAATCAACACCTTCAGTGCGGCAGGAATGTTGGAGTCAGTTGTGCTAGTACCAGGGGGGCGGTGGACCATCGGAGCGGCCATTGCTACCCCCGTTCTCCCCCCAAGGGAAGTCGGAGCAAGAACCCGGGCAGGCCACGGCATGGCCCGGCGCATCGCCTCCGTGGCGAGAAGGAGAAAGGGAACGGAGGAACGGCCGCAGAGGGCCAAGGGGCGCGACCGCGGCCCGCCACAAGATGCCTCGACCGAGGTTGGGAAGTCAAGGAGCAGGCCCCTTGAGCAAAAAATGGTTACGGACCTACCCCGCCCGGGAGGACGAGGATGAGGATCATGATGAGGATGCGGAGGAGGAGCAGGATGAGGATGAGGATGCGGAAAATGGAGTCATCAGCATCATCATATCTTCATCATCATCATCATCATCATCATCATCATCATCATCATCATCATCATCATCATCATCATCATCATCATCAGCATCATCATCACCATCCGCCTCCTCCTCCTCCTCCTCCTCCTCCTCCTCCTCCTCCTCCTCCACCTCCCCCTCCTCCCGCCCCTGCGACGACAAGTCCAGCAACAGCCAGAGCCCGACCCCAAGCATGGCGAAGTTCGTCACGTCCAGCAGCTGGCGCAGCCAGCCGTCCGAGCCCTCACTCGCGCTCAGCAGCCTCGGCTGGGTGCCCCTCCCCCTCCGCAGAATTGAGGGAGAGAGGAGGAGGAGGAGGAGGAGGAGGAGGAGGAGGAGGAGGAGGAGGAGGAGGGAGAGGAGGAGGAGGAGGAGGAGGAGGAGGAGGAGAGGAGGAGGAGGAGGAGGAGGAGGAGAGGAGGAGGAGGAGGAGGGAGGAGGAGGAGGAGGAGGAGGAGGAGGAGGAGGAGGAGGAGGAGGAGGAGGAGGAGGGGGGGGGGAGGAAACGAGGAGGAGGAGGAGGAGGAGGAGGAGGACGAGGATGCGGAGGAGGAGGACGCGGAGGAGGGACAGCGGCCTGACGCCAGGTTCGGGGCATACCCGGCCCCACCCTGCCGCCGAGTTCGAGACGCGCTGCCGCGGTCGGCCGCGGCCTCCGCGGCGCCCCTCGCGCAAAGGGGCGCTCCCCGAGGGCACGTGCCGCACGGAGCTCGGCCTCGACCGGGCCGAAAGGGCTCCCAGCGTGTTGGCTCCGGGATCAGGGCTGGGAGAAGGGCCCCCACACCTTAGTGGGCCCTGGAAACGACAGGGCCGTTTTTGTTACCGGTTCCGTTTTGCCGTTTTGTTGCCGGTTCCGACGCCGTCTTTTTACCGGTTCCGTCGCCGTTTTTTGACCGGTTCCGGCTCCGGTTCCAATCCTGGAGCCGTTTTTGTTGCCGTTTCTGGTCGCCGTTTTTTTGCCGTTTCCATTTTCAAGGGACATTTTTTGGAAAACGGTTAAAACACGGCCCTGCCGTTTCCGGGGCCCACAAAGCCCCATGCTCCCGCTGAGGGAGGGAAGGGGAGGGAGAGCAGGAGAATGAGAAGGATTCGAGCAACACAAAGCTGAATGAAGATACGATTTTTGGGAGGTCCACGCGGGTTCCTTGGATCAATGCTGGACCCCCTATCGATTATGGATTTGTATTTTCTTCGGCGGACACGAGAGACTCTGACAAGAAACCCAAGCCTCAAACATCCGCGCGCGAGGTGCACTTGGGGGGAAACCTAAAACATCCTGACTGCAGCCGTTTCGTGACGCCCGCTCGAAGTCACCTCGCGGCACGCGAAACTACGAATACCGATGTTAGCCTGACGAAACACATCCGGCTTCTTGGTGCGCTCCCCAGCTTCGGTGCTCGTTCGTGGGACCTTCCTGGAGCCACTCGCTCCACTCAAGCGTCGATGCTGCGTCGAACGCCCGTCGACTTAAGCTGATTTGAGTCGAGCCAAAAACCGACCATAATCGAACTAAATTCGAAGTAGAGTTGAACAAAACCGTCAGGTAGCCACCATGAAGGTCCCCAGACGAACATCTAACCCCACTATTCGACACTACGGGGAAGACCGAACGACCAGTCAGCCTGCAGGCCAACGTCCAGCGAAGCGGCGGGTTGGACCTCCGCGCTGGAAGGCGAGCGAGCCACGGTGCTGAAGGCGCATGGAGCTCTCGGAGGCGCGAGGAGACAACCCCGACGCACGACGCCTTCGCCTCCGAAGATCTTTCAGGAAAAAACGGAGGTGAAAAACACCGGCGTTCGGCGAGCTTTCTGCATGGCTGAGGACCCACCCTCACCCCTGCAGAGGCTAGGCGAGTCAGGGATCGGCGAGAGCCTGCAATCCCTGCAGACGTACCGTTCGCCCTTCGCCCGAGCGGGCCGCGTAACGGCGCAGAGGCTCACTCACATGCGTCAAACTCCGCACCCCTCCCTCCCCCTCCCGGAACCCCCAAGACCAAGCCAGGATGAGGGCAGCATAGCGTGAGGGCAAATCGAGGACGGAGTAGGACACTCACATGAGTCAAAGTCCGCACCCCTCCCTCCCCCTCCCGGAACCCCCGAGACCAAGCCAGGATGAGGGCAACACAGCGCGAGGGTGAATCGAGGACGGAGTAGGACACTCACATGCGTCAAAGTCCGCACCCCTCCCTCCCCCTCCCGGAACCCCCAAGACCAAGCCAGGACGAGGGCAACACAGCGCGAGGGCAAATCGAGGACGGAGTAGGACACTCACACGAGTCAAAGTCCGCACCCCTCCCTCCCCCTCCCGGAACCCCCAAGACCAAGCCAGGATGACGAGGAGGAGGAGGAGGAGGAGGAGGAGGAGGAGGATGAGGAGGAGGAAGATGCGGAGGAGGATGAGGAGGAGGAGGAGGAGGAGGAGGAGGAGGAGGAGGAGGAGGCGGAGGAGGAGGGGGGGGTGGGGGGGGGGGAGGGAGACGGAGAGGGAGAGGATGAGGAGGGGGAGAGGGCAACACAGCGCGAGGGTAAATCGGGAGCGGAGTGCGCCTCCTCGGGGCTGTGGCGATCAGTGGTGGACCTCTCGGTGGGTGCACGTCCGGGGGGGCCCACGCTGGATCTGCACCCCGCCCCGGAACCATCCCGGGCAGCTCGGGCGTGCATATCACCCCCGTGACCGCCCCCCCCCCAGGAGAGCCCATAATCGAATCGATAAATCGGATCGGCGATCGAAATGAATCGGATCGGCGGAAATCGGCAGCCGAGTCGGGAAAAGTCGAATCGGCAGACATCGGCAGGCTAGTAGGCCTCCAATAAGAAATCGGAACCCAAATCGGAATCTCAAGTCGAATCGAATCGGAATCGGAAGCCATCGAAATCGAATCGAATCGAATCGGAGGAATCGAAACGAGCCCTGCCCCCCTCCCCCCTGGTCACGGCACGGTCCTCCAGAAGGCGAGTCTATCAATCAGAGCCACTCTCGCGCCCTTTCGCTCCCGATGGGCCTCGGATGCCTCACTGCCCTGCTCCACTGCCCTGCTCCACTGCCGCCCATCAGAAACGCAGGTGGAGCCCACGAGAACCCATCGTGTTAGGGTTCGTGATAAGGGCCGTGACCAGGTGCGCCCCCCCCTTCCCCCCCTGGTCACGTCACGATTTGCGCCGGCGCCGACGGGGAATGAGCCATTCTTAGGCACTCCCCAACGTGACGCAACACGACCAGTCCCCCTCCCCCACCCTCCACCCCTCCTGGTTGCGCCAATTGTCGCCAGGGGATTTTTTGTTATGAAAAACGAGTCTTGGCAAACAAACCCTGCATCCTCTTCTCCTCGGACTGCAGCATTGCATCGAGCCTGCTGCGGGAGCTGCCACAAGTGGTCCCGCTCCCGTGGGCCCTCTTCTTTTCGCGTCCTGTTGGGGTCCCTGGGGCTCTCTGGGCCTCGTGAGGGGTGCTCTGGACGCCATCGGGGCCTCCCCCTGGGAATGCTTGGTACACCCTCGTCGAGGGACACCGCTGGCAACATCAGACTGTTGGCGCGCGCCGGTGCTGCTCGCAAGATTGCCCAAGTGCACTGGGTGGCCCAGCTTCGTCTACGATGATTCTCTGGGCGATCGGCACTGTAGCAAAGCCCCTGCTCACGCCTCGATCCCCACAAGGGGCCAGAGCGGGGATGTGGACAGCACTCTGGCATCTGAGGCCGCTCTCCTGAACCACACCCTGCGGCACCTGGCGCCGAGAGTGGGGGCCAACAGCCAGGGGTATGGGTCGAACGTCGATCGCCGATTGTTGCGCCCTGAGCGTAGCACTCGGCAGCAGCACGAAGGCCTTTCCGCCGCCGCGAGGGGAGGAGGGAGCAGGAGCAGGAGGAGGCGGGGGCGGAGGAGGAGGAGGAGGAAGATGAGGCGGAGGAGGAGGAAGAGGAGGGGGAGGAGGCGGAGGAAGAGGAGGAGCAGGAATTACGGAGTTACGGATATTGCGACTATGTCGGTTACTTGTTAGCTTAAATAGAACGAGCCGTAAGCTTCGATCAGCTTTGCTGTAAGCTTTAGGCCAGATCCCCCGTTCAATATTCTTTAAATAATATCTACGATTACCCTCTGGTCTGCCAACACACCTCTTCCCAAGCTGGGGCAACTGCTGGGCCGCATAGCTTCCGCAGGTGCTACAGAACCAGATCCCCAGCCCAGCGTGGAACTGTACATTATAAGTCTCATCAGCCCACCCCCCACAGATGTGCACCCTGCAACGGGGGGGCGGCCTGAAAACGACGCCATCGATAGCCCTCAGGTCGAAGCATGGGGTATCCAACCAAACCTTTCGCCTAGCTTTGGTTGCTGAACTCCTACACTTCAGACAAGACAACTTACTGTCAGACAGCGTGTGCAAGGTGGAAAACTCTTGGCAAACAACAGGCGCGGGTGGCCTGGGCCCAGGATTCCTGATACGGGACCCTCGGGGCTCCCTGGCCGCTAAGGCCTGTTCAGCTTCAAAAATTTCCAAACTGGCAACTAGAATTCGCATACGGACGGCGAAAGCCATCTTCTCATTCGTGAGCACCTTGCTCCTGATAGACGCTGGGGCTCTGACATCACTAGCTGCAGCGGAGGCCAACTTATCGGCAGCCGCGTTCCCAACCGTTAAATACAAAGGGGCTCTACCCTGGAGGACATCTCGAGCCTCTTGGTGGGAGTGAACGAAAAAGGCCCGTGCAGCTGAGATTGGGCTTTCTCTTGGGAGCTTGCCCTACCTGGTGCCACAAATCCGCGTCCTCCCCCTCAGGGGCGAAGGCTCGGCCACAATACCATCCAGAGCAGACGCTGGCGTTGTCTGTGGTATAAATCACGACTCCATCAGCACCAGTGAGTGCTGAGAAAAAAAACTGGAAAGTTCAACCCTAGCAACTGTCTGGACGGGTCCTGGGAGCCCCCCCCCCCCACGCAGAAGCAACTAACTGCATATTATCAGAAATGTCTAAATATTGTGCCGAGCCACAACCTACTATCCGAAGGCGGGGGTCGGAAGCATCTTCGCCCCCGCTCGCGTCCCCGAAGAGGCGCACAAGGGCCGACTCTGAGCCCAGGCCGACGCAGTTATCTTCAAACGCTCCGATGCCAAAGCTCCGCCACTGGACCTCCTCTTGCGGTGGCGGGACGGACGCCCAGGCTTGCGGCAGGAGGCCCCGATGCCAAAAACAGGGTTCTGCTTCATGCTGAGTGTGTGCTCGTGGGGTATACTCATCCGACATTTCGAGCAACCCCAAAGACG